CAGGTCGGAGAAATTCCTCTGTTTAGACGCACGTCACACCACACCGATGGTCTGACTATACGTTTTGATAATTATATAAACCCCATACTAACATATAACACCTCAGCCTAACAGTTACATTTTCCCTTCATATACATAGATATCTTGCAAACAAAATGTACGTAAATGTACTAGTGACCTCATACCATATTGCTTTAGGCGCTTTGAGTTTATATACTCGTGGCGTAACAGTGTCGGTTATTCATTTGGCATTTTTTAGTACTTTTTGACTGACTTTTAGTAGTTACAGGCTTCTAAGCATACTTGATGACACACGTAATATATATTTCACCAGTGTAGGCCAGCTTAGCTGGAAATTAAGTTAAGTTCGGTGAAATAGACAAATTCCATTTTACACGTATTTTTCCTAATTAATAAAAAAAGATTATATGTCACAGTTAGCAACATTCATCCACGCTCAGTACTATCAGGAGTGAATAATGACAAATAATGACATTGTTATTACCCTGCCTGGTATTATACAAATACGCGCATATTACGAAACGTTAAGCCGGGCGCACACGTGGCGATTTTTATTGACATTACGTACTGTCGATAAAAATCGCCAGTACTAGCTGTCGATAAAAATCGCCACGTGTGCGCCCGGCTTTAGTCACAAGAAATATTGAAAATTCTTTACGTGTGACATAAGCAGTACTTAGTTGTGATACCGGCCGGTGCCGATTTTTCCGGTCTATCCACGCGTCATTATCATTCAAATATTCATAACAATACAGTGCCCACGTCAAAATACTTGCATGACAAAGGGAAAAATAATTTTCTTACTCGGGGCGCTGAATAATGCACCTTCTCCTACAATTTACTCAATGAGCGAATAACCATTGGGGCATGAACATGCACGACCATTTCCCTAGTGTTTTGATGAACAATTCCAAGAAAAAAAAATAATTTACACTCAAGCACTCATAACTCTGTATATATATACACACAACTGTGTGTCCATGAACAGTGAGTGGCGTGCGCGTGGTGACATGTGTTGTACATGAACGTAAATCATTACGTAAAAAATCCTTACAGGGTTTAAATTATTTGGCGATTTGGAGTCCATAAACATTGCATTGGTAGTAAATGTAACCTTATGTATTTACTATCATTTTATTACAGGTACGGAAAAGTGCCCCTGACCATAGTCATTGCTATTTGGCATCTGAATTCAAAATTATGATTTAACTTTGCATAACTTAAGTTAGCGTGGCACAATGCCGTATCTGAGGGACAGGTGCCATAATTACAGTCCATAAGGTGAAGCTCGTTATAGCGCCTAGTTCATGCACAATAGAGCGATGGAGTGTATCTGCCAGTCACGCAGATAGTGTATTCCACACGCAGACACATCGCTAACACTGTCACGATCTGACAACATAATAAACTACGCCAGCCGTGTCCGTCTCATCAATCATTACAATTACACGGCACGTGTCAGATGCAAAATCATAATTCATATATATATAATAAACTGCTTGCTCAAGCTAAACTGCATGATGCACGGGTTTCGAACGCATGCAGAAACGTTAGGCGGTCTTTAGTTATGCCAGCTAGAAGGAGCAAGTCATGTGCATTTACGGCTTAGGAAGTACTGGTTGCTTTCTTCAATCTCCATTCATTAAAATGCTAGGTCACGTAATAACGAATAGTACTATCGAAACCAAATATGCTACTGAATTCTTACGAGACAAAACGTCTTCTTAAATTGCACAAAAACGATTACAATTCCAGGCACCTGACTTTTTGTCCCATACAAAAACACAAGTGTGCGTCGTACGTGACAGCAACAGCAGCGCGGCATGATTGGCAGAACTAGTAAAGATAGTACAATGCAATCAGGGGTGACATTATAATAAATATCTATACACATAGAGATACACATATGAACATGAAGAGCTAATAAACTATAATACACTGTGTAGTACATACATAATGTATACATATGTGTGTACATACATAATGTATTATTAGCTCTTGAGATAATCTATATTATATGTCACTTCTGATATAACTTGATAATGATAGATGAATATGAGCATTAAATAACACTTTGCTAGGTTTTATTAAATGTACGTTACACGCATAGCTATATCTTTTGCAAGTACCAATTAGGATCACATATACATTAACAATCAATCGGGTAACCTACGCCCGGTTTCAATACCAGGATATCAAAAATCGCCAGTGCCCATGCACCGACCTTTAGATGTATACTAATGCTATAAAGAATCTAGTTGTATTCAAGCTATTCGAGATTTTCGCACGTTACAACAAACTTTACGCACCTAACTTTTCAGTACAGCGAAAGCCGCAGTTGCCTTCAACTACAGCTAATACATGCCTCCCCTTTATAAACACCCTCGATACTGTACCGAATATCAATGCCAACTTGCAACTGTTAGCCAGCCTGCATGCAGTTTAGTAGCATCGGTGTAACACAGGGGCGTCACCAAGGCAGTCAGTCACAGACGGCTAAAGTCAAGCAAAAAAAAACCAGCAACCGGTACAATGCACACGCTTTGCGGGGTTGGGCAATCCCAACGCTCACGAACCCGCAACGCCCCTATACTACCGCTGCCCACACGAGAGCGAATTTACGAGACTCGGATTGAAGGCCACATGCAGGATTTGCTTTCGAAGTGTAACTTTTCGCATGGACCGATCCCTCGACAGGTGTGTCGGATCTGTAGGATAGCGCACGCTCCCGCAGAGAGTAAATATATCGCCTCACACTATTCCTCAAATGCAATCACTAGAAACAACACACCTCTTCGCTCCAAGTGATAAATAATAATAGAACGCCGCAGGTAATCACTATACACCACGCCCTTAGCATCCGAGTACACTAATGACTCGGGGGCCGATCTGCCATGGTTATTCCCCAGGTAACGAGTCGGCTCTCATCCTTTCCGTAGCAAGTCCAGTTTTCGCCTAGCTCCTACACCCTATTCCCGCTCTACCTTCCACCGACCTATACCTTCACCCCGCCGAGCGCCTCCGCGAACCGCCTCTCTAAGGTACGGAATTACTTGTATTCAATTACGCGACACGCGGTGCGAGTGTTACGACTTGGAGACATCTGTATAGTATCGTAGAATTGTGCGTGTAACGAATATTCTGTGGTGTAAAACAAAGCACGAAGAGTTTTGATAACACCGTGTTCGTGTTCTCTAGGCTAAGGTATGCAGTGTCTTCCTTACCTGGTGCACGTGACCAGCGGTTTAGGGGGTAGTGGCAATAGGTTGCGTAGATAGCGAGTTCTCTAGTATTTTTTCTAATATACGTTTTCTTTCTAAGCACGTGTTTTATCGCAATCAACGTGACGGCATCTCTCTGCAAAGAGTCGCAGCTAACTTACTATACCGACACCATCGTAGCGCATCGTTTCCGTAGATGATCACGTAAGTGCGAATTGTTTTTACACTAAGGTATGCTCAAACTATTCTCTTTAATAGCCTTTTAATAGCTAAATTATCTGCGTTTACACGCTTTTTAAGCGTTTTCGCTTTCTAAATTCGTCGGTGCGCGCTTTAAATAGCAGCCACCGTGTCGCTAGGCGTAATCGCGCGTAACGATTACCGCTGTTTCTGCCCCCACCGCAGCAGAGACGACCCCCTGGAACTGCCCCCTCTTCACCAACCCGTCGCGCCTCACCCCACCCCTACGCTGGTGCGGGGGACCTCTAGTAATCCCCGACCAGACAGACGACTGCGGCCTGGCGCACGACGACGACCCCGACCGCTACGTCAGCTGGCGTGCTTTCTGGGATGACGTCGCCTACTTCGAGACGACGCACCCGGGCATGACAGTGCGGTACGACGCGGACGTGGACGACATGCGATTCGATCCTCCAACTTGGGGGCGGAGTGGGCGCCGGCACCGTCGTCCTGGCGCGACGCCGGATGACCATGCAACTCACGAGTGCGGAGTGCCTCATCCACCTCCACGCGGACGACAACGACGACGACAACGACGACGACGACAACGACGACGACGACAACGGCGATGGACATTTCTACGACCACTGGTACGGCGGCCACCAGGCCATTGACAACGCCGCCCCAGGCCCGATCGAACTGGAGGACTGGGAAGTGGACGCCCCAGCCCCAGCCCAGCCCCAGCCGGCCCCGCTGGAGGAGAACTGGGACAGCGACGACTAGCCCCACCCCAGCCCCAACCGGCCTCGCGCAAACTGGACCACGGCGACGCGGACGGCCCGAGTCTATTTTTTCCGTACCGCAAATGCGTAATTAAACGTTCTACACGGGTTCCTTGTTGCTTTGACACAACAAACCTTCAAAACAAGAGAACAAACGCCCATTTGTAAATATTTGTTTTAGTTTATCATCAGTAGACTTAAGTAAGTTTTCTGATGTATTTTCTATGAAAAACACACATTTTACTCATTAATATAAAATATAATATCACTATAATTACAATTCTTTGTGTAACTGTGTTATTTTCATCTTAATCTCAAGTTATGAGAGGGTTTGGGCTCTCGTAACACTTACTACATACGTACGTATACGATACGTACTCGTACTATAGTATAGAGTAGCCCTTCGCTCTGTCGCAGGAGTAAAGATAGATACAATCCTACCTAGATCACCTACCTACAGAATCAGATCTATACCTATCAGAATCCTATCTAGGTCAATTCTTTTAGATACCCTGTATCTTAAAGAAAGTACATTAAAGCATTGGTTGTAAAATGACTTTATTACTTGGGAAGCATATGAAATAAACACCTTTCAGATGCCAAGATGAATAATACACCTATTTCAAATGTGCGGTATTGTTTGTTTAATTGTTTTTTATCACCTCGTTCTGATTGACATGAATTATGGTGCAGATCTACTTCACATTTATTAGAGAACTAAAAGATCAATTTGGTATGGACAGATTTTGCTGAAATAGTAATCCATGGATATGGAAAGAAAATTGAAAACTGTCCTAAAATAATGCGTTTTTGAAACACTCTGTACGTGTACATTGGTCTACATTACATCAGTTGGATGAAATAATTCCCCAGGTAACAACTCGGCTCTGACCCTTTGAACCAGATAGTCCTGTTATTGTCCAGCTCCGATCTTGCTTGTGATTTCCACTCGTAGTCCCAATATACTTCTCATTTCTACCTTCGACCGACCTACCGTCACCCCGCCAAACGCCTCCGCTAACACAACTCTAATACCCCCGTCAGACCGGGGTGGCGTCCTTACTGCGCTGCTACGGCGACGGAAAATGGGCCCAGAGCGCGCCAAGGTC